ACTCCAATATTTAAAAAATGAGTAAATGTTGAAAATTAAATAGGTGTACTACAAAAAAGTATTTTGAAAATACGTATATGCATTTAACATTTAAAACACAAATAGAAAATCTATTTTGAATTTTACATTTGAAATAACAAATCTAAAAAGTATTTGCATTTTGTATTTAAATGATTTTAAAAAACCAATTTGCACATCTCTACGTATGTTTATATGTAATAGAGTTAAAGAAAATGCCCATTCATCTTGTCAAAAAAAGTATTTTTTTAAGACTTGGAAAATGTTCGAAAATTAATCTGGGTTATTTCTCTAAGCTTAAAGTATTTCATGTTTTATACAATAAATATATAATAGGCACATATTAAAAAGTAATTCCTGTTAGGTTGTTTGGGATTGTTATAATCGATGATAATGAAAAAGCCTGGTTTCCGACTGAAGATCTGAGAGAGTTTCACGGAATTGTGCCTCATGAAATAAGTAGAGCCGAAACGTTGCTTTTTTGTATAAAACCTGATGGTACTGAAGGTCTTTGTTGCCCCATTTCGTACGTCGACGAATTCGAAGAGACTTAATTTGACAATAATAGTAATAATAATGCAAATGATATTTTTTATCTTCTATTTTTTCCAAAAAATTCTTAATTCTCAATTTACGAAATACGCATTTTTATTAAAATTTGTTAAAATAAGTAATTTATAAAAAATCTGTCCATCTGTACTAATGTAGGTGCAGATGAAAAAACGGACAATATATTTACAAAAAGCAGATAACAAGAGAAAGAAAATTGAATTGTATATTAGTTAGTAGATACCTGATTTAATACAGATTTTAACAGTTTGTTTCGTACTAAAATCTTTCAATTTGTTATTGTCTTTTCTCTATTGTATGAATCACACGGGGATTACTTTTGAATCAAAGTCATGAGTTTCTCATGGAAAGAATCGTTTAAACATTCTCGCACTCCATCTTCAGTGTAAGCTAGTAGGCATTTTCGTGCCGGAGTTAGCATATCTAAAGAATTGTAGCTTGTACTTGTATGTAGGTGCAATCAATGTTTACAGTCGGCATTTTTTTCTGATTGAGTCGACATTTTTAAAAAAAGTTTCTCTTCCTCTCCCCACCTCACTCCCAAACTCATGAAGCTTGGTACATCCTTGCGGATATGTTTAATTTTGAGATAAAATTGATTAAGTTCTCAATTAATATATTCGTTACCAATAGCAGTTAATATGTATTATGTTTTTAAGTAGAAGTAGGTAGGTGGGTACTCCAAATATTTTCAATTCAAAAGTAGGTACACATCAATATCTATTACCAAGAATTTTTTTTCCAAATTCTCAGATGGTACGTTATTAGTTAGAAATAAAGACAAGGGGAGTTTATAACATAATATATAAAATACAGGGCTACAATATGAAAAGTGTTAATGAAGCTCCAAATTTGTTTTTAAGAGTTTCCTAACGGTATCTACAGCTATTTATTTGAAAAAAGTTAAGACTAGACCTAATTTATGCTTGTAAATTAGAAAATAATTACGTACATCATTAATAATCACAACACTGAGGATTTTTGTTCATAAACTGTTTCAGGTCGTTAAAGTTCCATGTTTTTTCTGTTTTTCTTCCATAACTTTTTTCTGTTGCATTTACCGAAAAGAAAATCACTTTTTCAATAAGAGTAGGGGGTCGGATTTTTCAAAAGTGATTAATTTTCTTCAATAAATGAATATTTATCAAGAAAAAGCGACATTCGTATTCACTTTTAAGATAGATCAATTTGTTAGTAAGAAAAAAACGGACAGACAGACACACGAGTAATCCTATAAGGGTTCCATTTTTCATTCCGACGTACGGAAACTTAACCCAAGAACCAACATAACATTGTTTTGGAAAAAAAAAACATGATCTCCCATACATTCAAACTGCAAATGTAAATTTGTTCGCACAATATTGTTTTTTTGAAAGATTTACAACGATATGTTCAGACNTTGTCGTTAAATAGAGTGAGCGGGACGCTATATAGAGCGTAATATTGTATAGAAAACAATGTAAACCAATCAGAGTCAAGCAATTTCGACGTTTTAAGGAGTTTGTCGTTAAATCGAGTGACGTTATAAAGAGTTCACACTGTATATATTTGAGACCCTTACAACAAGCCCTTTTATTTGATATGTTACGGTTCAATTTGCAAAACTTTTTTCTTTTTTCTTATTGACCCCCCAAAAATGACCCCCATGTTCAAAATTTATTTATTCACATTGTGTCCGTGTTTGGCTCACACAAATTCATATGTATACAAAATATTAACTTAATTGGTCCTGCAGATTCGGAGAAAATTGACTGTGACAGACGGATAGACAGACACACGAGTGATACTATAAGGGTTTCGTTTTTTATTCGGTCGTATGGAACCTTAAAAATTATAAATTTCATAATGTTACTAAAGAAATCACTTTTTTTCGATAAATCTTCTTTTATTGAAAAAAATTTACCACTTTGAAAAATGGCAAAACCTTGTCCTTATCGAAAAAAATGTTTTTAAACAAATTTCTTTCTCTTTTAACTTTTTTCGCTAAAATCAGCAGAAAAGTTATAAAATAAAAATAAAAAAAAAATCGAAAAATCATCCTTAATTAGTTTTTATAAACAAAATAGCACACACTTTTGAGTTTATTAATGATATACGTAATTCTTTTACATGTAAAAATCTGGTCTACTCCAAACTTTTCCACCCAAAAGTCACATAACGCGAAATAAAAACGTTTCACTATAAATTATAAATAATTACCTAATTAAAAAAAATATATATGATTATTCGCAGACAAAACTGGCTTATCAGACATTTTCAAGTCAAAAATATTAAATTTAAGATTGTACAATAAAATTCTTAATGACATTTTTGAGTATGTCGAAAACTAAGTACCAGGAAGTGTAATGTAATATTAACAAAACCGTTTGCGTGAAGAAAAAATGTCATGTCTATTAAGTAAGAAACAATTTAAATTGAGAAAATTATTTTAAATTACATTCTTGTTGTACCTACATAATAAGAATGTGATAAGATGTGTTTTACAACTTCACATTTAATTCAATAAATTCCGAGCTGCTTTTCTTCTTCATTATCTAGTATCTTCAAACACGAACAATATGATACTGTAAAACTTATCAAACCAAAGCTGTAGTCCATTAAGCACAAATTGGTCCGGACAATAAGGAACAAACGCAACAATTGTAAAAACAGTAGTGTAACAGTACTTGGCTAATGGATTTCTGAAAACAATATTTATTTTCGATAGTAATTTAAATTCAGCAGAGGCAATATATTAAAAATGCAATTTTTGGAGGCAGTCCTGTCATAGATACCTACCTACATAGAGAAAAGACAAAATAGGTGTTTGCTTTTGTGTTCAATGTTTTCTTTTGTTTTAAATTAATTTGCATTTTCAAAAATAATTAATGATTCATATAAGTAGGTATACGTCTTTATAACATATTAATAATAATTTATATTAAACATATCTTGATTATCCACAATCAAACTAACAAATGTAAAAATTTTTTGAATTTATAGTCTTTTAATGATCTAAATGTATAATACAAAAAAATCAAATGGAATGAAGCATTCAAGCAAATAATTCGCTAAAGGTGTAAAAAGTAATATACAGTGTGTGTACTTATAGGTTGGCAACATGTGGGAAACTTTTTTATTTTTAATCTTACGAAAAAAGTTACTCCTTATAAAAAGTCCTGCGTGGTCTACAACATTTAATGGTACCATCAGAGTTAATGATTCGTTAACCGTGTGTAAGTTTTGGCACAAAATATGAATTTTGTGTAATAGTAAAGTGCAAACAGAAACCTTTATCAAAAAGGTTGTTAAGAATAAAAAAGTAGTTGCAAATATGCAAACATATCTATCAATTGCTGAAATTATGATTTTTTTTCTTCTTACTCTTGCCCCATAATAGTGAGTTAGTATTACGCATGCACATTAACAATAATACAATGTTTGTCAGATTTTCATTGTCCAATATTAGTTTTAAAATTAAAAAAAGCAATAATGCCGCGACTTGAGTTTGGAAATTTTAAATGTGAAAGATAATGCACTTTCAATTTTTTCTTTTAAACTTAAAATCTCCAGCATTGTTGCTTTTTTTTGATTTTAAAACTAATATTTGAAATTCAGTGAAAGATTGACAATCTTGTCATTTAAAAGGCAATTTTGATTAGAATTGTATTGTTGTTAATGTGCATGCATAATAATACTAATTCACTCATATGGGACAAGAGTACAAAGAAATTTACAAAATCATAATTTTAGCAAATGATAGATATGGTTGCATATTTGTTACTATTTTCTAATTCTCAACAACTTCCCTTTTGAAAAGTTTCTGCTATTTTTACAAATAAAGGTATTTTACTATTTGATAAACTAGTTCTTCCCCCCCTATCAGTTACTATGAACTCGAAACTGTTAGCACCATTGCTTCGAGTGGTCGAAATTCACTTTTGTGAACCATTTGTTTAGTCACTTTCTTTGTGTTAAAAATTGTTTGAAAAATTAAATTTAAAGTAATTGTTTGTAAATAGGTATGCAACACATCATACACTTCAGCATAAGAAATTGCTGATACTAACTACGTAATACTACGTTGCCCTGTGCTGACAGCACTCATAGTTTCTTTTATATACAGTATTTAATGTTTTATGTCAAATCTGACATATCATTAAATCTGATGGTATCATTGTGTTTTTATACAAATTGATTTACACAAAGTATTTATTTCCATATGTCGTATACAAAATTGGGGATCTTGGTATTAATAAGTTATAATATGCCGCTTTCATAAATAGGAGCAAGGATGATGCGCGGTATGCCGATAAACACTCGCGATTTAGACTTTTCTGCGTCCACGTCATTTGCGAGCGCTGGCAATCATCGTATTTATTATAAATATTTTGTTTGCTTTTTTGCAAATGTTTACTGAAACGAAGTGGTGATACTATTCAATACATTTAGGTACTTTTTTATTTATCGATATTTCTATGGTGATAATTCCGATTGTTTGCTTTATTAATTCATATCTACATTTTTCGCATGTTTGATAATTATGTAAGCACTTTTTGATATATACATTAAATTACGTTTAATTTAAATTTATTAAAAGAATACTGTATTCACCTACGAAACGTTTTTGCTGTATTTCAGCATTTCACCTATCATTATAATTAAATACTTATATTTATTATATTTGTATTCTTAAAATCACCATATTTGACACTTACACATACAACTGCTAACTATTTAGTACATGCAGAGCAAGCTTTACGCTCGCTGATGACGTCACGTCATGCGCATACAGTAAACGGGTAAGCACTCACTCGACTGAAAACACATTTCTATCAAGCGGCACTTCGCATAGTGAATACGAGTAGTGCATACTTTGAGAGATTTCGAGATTCGCTCTTTTGCACACAATACATTGAAAACTGGAAATGTGAGTGCCTTTATGTAGAATGAACCCTCTAAGGTTTTTGTTATTAAAAAGGATACAAATCAAACATGTACATGTAATTCCATAAAATAAAAAAATATACTTTTATATGAAGACCACTTTAGCGAATTGTTTGTATGTTTAGTGTTTATTGCTGGTGATTGCAAAGGTATTTTTTGATAAATTTTATCTTCCAGCGCAGGTATAGAATTCCTTAATGTATAAACAGATACCTACAATTTTTATCGCGTACCACTCATTTAAAAATTACCCGTTTTACTAACTTAACCTGTAATAATCACAATTTTAAGACAGTTGCAGTTTTTAACGGTGTGCGTAATTTTCAAACACTAATTGTTCAGGAATTTTCCTGAATGAATGATAAACAATGTTAATCATTATCTAAAACGTGTCACGATCAATTTTAAATCCACCGAACGAACTACAATACTTCGGGGATGTACGTGTACCTAATTACTTATATACGATGCAAAATTTATAGAAAAATTATACTTACGTTAGTAATATAAATAGGACATACATGATAAAGATGCACAAATAAAAAATGTTATATTNTATCGTAAAAGATTATAATGATATTATATATAGATAATGAAAGGAAACAATTGTTGTATAGTTAAGCATTTCCAAAATATTATAATTTTATCTAAAATTGGTTGAAATTTATATTTTCGTAATCATACTGATAGGGAATATGCATAGAAAACAATATGCATATTACATAACTAATAGACTTAAAAACAAAGGGTGGATTTAGAGAGTATGTTTCGATTATCGTTAGAGAGGTACATAAAATAAGGTATTTTATTTTGTTCTTTATGTAATTTACAAATACAGGATAGGGTGGTTCACTTTCTCAATTTTTTTTGTTTGAGACTACAAAAATTTAATAGTTTTTGATGTTTTTTGACGACCCTTGATGGTGCATATCTTAAACAATGAAATAATCAAATAATATTGTATGTACATATAAAAAACTCTATCTGATTGGCAAACACAGACAACTATCAAGTGTACATGCTCAAATGAAAAAGAGCTAGATCAGGTCTCTTTATTTTCTTTCATTCTTATAAGAAAAAATCCGACGGATTTGCCTACTTCAATTCTATTATTTCTATTTCTATTTCTTCTTATTAATATGCTAAGAGCGGTAGGTTTTTAGCTACTTCGAACCCCTCGTCCAATTCAAAAGCTATTACACCTGTACACACTTGCAATTTTGCCTCCTTCGAATATTTCTAGTATCCCAAATTTCATTAATAAACTTTTGAGAGTTCCGAAGTTATTAAAGTCTGAAAAGTATTAATTAATTATTATTCTCTCCGGGAAACTGGACCATCCAATCTAGTATATACGATATTGCTTATAGAAAAAGGGGATATATGTACTTATACACTAATACTCTGAATTAAGATAATACATGGGACTGAGAAGAATAACTAAAAACTAGTAATAATAATAAGTAGGTATGCAAATACAGTAGATTTCATTTATTACGACCTTGGTTATAGCGACCATTTTTCTTTAGCGAAATTAAATTTAAGTCCCTTGAATTTAAAGCATACTTTAGTACAAAATTCATGTGGCTATAGCGACATTGGATGTAACAGAGTTCGGGTGTAGCGACTGTTTTTTATGAATTTGTAACAAATTCCTATTAATCTTATGCCGATATAGCTACCGGAATCGACCGCAAAAGATACAAAGAGCTCTCTTATCTTTTGTTTATATCCACACATATGTTTAGCAAATGTGGTAACCTTTATAGTTTATAGATAGTTCAGTTACAAAGTGATATTCTGTGTAGCAACTGTGTTTAGTAATCTTTACGATGTATGACATTTACTGTAAAAAAGTCAGAAATATTTTCAAAATTGAAAAGTGGTGAAAACCATACATACGTGTCTGTATCTCTTTACCATTGCCTGTAACGACTTCCGGATATTACGACAAACTTACAATGGTCCCTTCATCGTCGTTATACCCGAAATGCACTGTATAATTATTTCAGATGAACATGCTTTATATTATATTGCGACTATTTAATGAAATCAAACTCTATGCAAGTAATAAATATTAACTTAAGTCGGGGTATTACTGTATGTAATTATTACGCAATTTTTAATCATGGTTACTGATGAGTATGAACATTTGAATTATATGTGATAGAAATACTAAAAACAAGAAAAAAATTATCTACCTTAAACTAACTACAACAATTTTATAAAACTCGGACACGTTGTTTCGCAAACTTATTCTTGTGATCGTGTCTACTTTTGTAAAACTGTTGTAGTTAATTTGGAGTACGCCTTTTCTTGTTTTTAACATAAACGTCTATTACGACTACTACTTAAAAAGGCTAGGAGCATTCAATTTTATACTTGGTTGTATATATTAATACTTAAATTCAAAAAATGTAACAGAGCCTGACGTTGGCGTTAAAATTTTTCCATTAATTAGGGATAATATATTTCTTAATATTTTTCAACTCTAGCAAATCTGTGTTCGATAAAAGCGCCAATAAACATCAGTCTACCTATATGCGTATCTATAAATTATTTTATGTATACTGTATAAATCAAAACATGTACCTTCAACTTACGATAATCCATCCCTCTAGTAGGGTAATTATTTGGGCGTAATTCATTTGGGCACTGAAAGCAGATAGGTTTTGAAAATACCCTCTATTTGGGCACCGAACCAAAATTTAGAGGTTTAATCAACCAACCCATTCCACCCCTTATAGCTGGCGTATCTGATCCGAAACAAAAGAGCATAACCAGGTACCGTAACCTTAAGCAATTAAAAGCATTATTCGGTTAATATATTTATACAAGGGCAAAAGATTAGTATGCTTAGATTTGCAGATGATATAGCAGTATTAGCATCTAGCAAGGAGGACCTAGAGATAGCTTTAAATAAAATGGAAGCGGTACTGACAGATCAGTACAGTATGAAAATAAATAAAAGTAAAACTAAAATACTGATATGCAAGGGAAGAAAAAGTAGGGAAAGAGCGAATATAAAGATAGGAGACGAAAAATTAGAAGAAGTGGCTGACTTTAGATACCTAGGAAGTCAGATAAGTGAGGATGGAAGGAGTAGTAATAATAAAAAGAAGTCACTTCTATGCTCGCGAACGGTTAAATTAGAAATTCGAAAAAGGTTGTTAAAGGTGTATGTTTGGAGCACGGCGTTGTACGGGTGCGAAACATGGACAGTGGGAGCGGCGGAAAAGAAAAGGTTAGAAGCGTTCGAAATGTGGTGTTATAGGCGGATGATGAGGATATCGTGGGTAGAAAAGGTTAGAAATGAAGAGGTATTAGAAAGAATAGGAGAACAGAAGACTCTGTGGAAGTCAATAAAAAATAGGCGAGATAGGTTGGTAGGACACCTTCTTAGGCATGAAGGTCTAGTCAGAGACATATTAGAGGCAGAAACAGGAGTTAGGAGGGGTAGAGGTAGACCTAGATTAGATTACTCTTCGCAAATAGTTAAGGATGTGGGTTGTTCTAGTTTTAGGGAAATGCGAAGTTTAGCTCAGGATAGGAAAGAGTGGAGGTACGTGTCCAACCAGTCTTAGGACTGATGACCTTATGATGATGATGATATTTATACTTTAAATATTCAAAAGCCTTTTCTTACTGTAAATATGTTGTTTTATTAAATACCCACAAGCAAGATTCTGATATAGTTACAATAATAAATAACAGCAATTAAACTGTGCCTCCTGTAGTGCCCATAGTACCCAACTGATGAGAAAAGCTAGTGTACAATGTTTGACAGGTAAAAGTACCCAATTGAATGACTCCCAATAATTTTTTTTAATTGCGCGAAATTCGGCTTTTATGTAAATAATTCAATATCGTTGGGTATATAATATGTACTTACGTTGCGGTAGATGTAACAAAATTATAATTCTACGGTAATTAAAAATCCGCCCTAATTGATAAAATTTGCCTTATGGATTGATTTGTTATCTACTTGTACTTGTACTTCATTATAAAAACAACAGCTGAAAATATATTTTACGTTATGTATAACGTATCCGTCTAACATATCAATTGAAATTTTGAAAAAGTCTATTGAAAGTCATATCAAATTGTTTAAAATGCAGGCATTTTTTCAATACAATATGCATTACCATTTAAACTATGAATGTGAATTGTACTAAGACAATAAATTAGGCTAAAAGAATATACTTGTTTATATTGTTGTTGTTTACACAGATAGTAGAATTAGTAAAAAATGTATGAATATGTTTCAAGTTATAAATAATAACTAAAAAAGTTGAAGACAATAAACAACAATAAATATCTATGGCTGTCGTACAACTAATTATAGATTAGGTACTAACTTCATTATGAAGTGTACTGTAAATACATATTTGAAAGTTGTTGTGATGTAGAATAAATCAATAAAAAGTACATTCTGTTTTATTTTGATAAATAAAATAACAATATTTATTAAATTAATTGTGAATTAATTATTACTTTTTAACATCCCCATTCTTCAAAATCATCATCTAAAAAGTCTTCTGCCTTAAACTTTTTCAATGAAGGTGGCAAATCTTGTCTAGCGTTAAGGTGTTCTGGATAGGACCAGGATGTATGTACAAACTCAGAACTGTCTTTACTACATTTACTACTCTTTTTATACTTTTCTAACCATGATTCAATGGAAGGAATTTCCACTGACATCTCCTTTAATTTTTTTTCATTCTCACATTTTTCAACTAAAAATTCGTAATAAATTTAGAATTAATTTTTGCACATAAGTGTTGTTTTTTTTTTACTCTCTTCTTGTAACTGCCAAAGTTGGTCATGGGTGTAGTGAGAATATTTGCAACTTCCTGAAAATTGACACTCTCCAAATTGGAAAAATCTACGACATGGGGGTTTTTGGGATTCCTCAATCAGTACTGTTTTGGAATCTGCAAAACTCTTCAGTATTTTACAAATTGCGCTATCTATATGCATGGTAAATTGGTAAAATGTTATCGTATTAATTAAAAACATATAATCTCAGTATTTTATAACTTATTAATTTAAACACATAACTACAGAAAATGTTTATTTTTAAATATGTAACTGAGTTAAAAAAAACATGAAAATTGAAAATCCATGTTATATATTGCTAAATGAAATTATACATGTGACATGGTGTCTTTTTCAAGTGTACCTAGCAACGCAGCATTACTATCCCGGAAACACCGATTAAACGTTACAAAATGGGCAGTTTTTATAGGCCATTCTTAATTAGTTTACAGTGTTGCCATATTTTCTTCACAATTAGTTTCTTATGTAAAGGATATTTATAAAAGTTGCTTAAAACTTCAAGTTAAAATAACTTTAAAACAAACAAGACAGAAGAAAACTTCCATAACAAAAAATGCTCAGCCTGTCGTTGCCTATTAGTTACTTAATTTTTTAAATACCGACTTGGATTTTTGTCAAATTTTTGGAAGGGCAGTTTATTAATTTTTTAACAATATCCCACACAAGCATATTTTCAGGTGCTTTTTTATTTTCTTTTTATGTATTAATTACTTCAGCAAAAGAGCAAAACAAGTTATTTGCGTTTAACTGAAGTAATTCATAAAAAGAAAATTAAATAAATCTGAAGATGGATTTCTACACCGAAAACATACAATTGTACTGTATTTTGTATTTGTATGTAATTGCAGTTATTTTAATTTGAAGTTTTAGACAATTTTTAAAACAACTGCGCATAAGAAACTAAATACAATTTAACATAAGCTGATTTTTTTTATAACTCCTACAGTATGAAAACAATCTATATACAAACATTTTATTTTAGAAGCCACATATGCACAAATAGTCCGAAGACAATATAAGTCTTACACATTAAATAATATGATTATAGCATTTAATTCTTACTTATTTTTATTTTACATTTCTATAACTATCTGAATATGTATATACCGCCTCTGTATACTTTAAAAAAATTTTAAGTAGATAACTTATTATTTTAGGTATCAAACTTTACACAAATGTGCTAAAATATAATACTTTTAAAGCAATAATGAACTTTCACTTTGCTTAGTAACAAGGAGTTTGCCAGACATGCGTTAAGTATCCACGGATGAGCGAAACACGTGTCTGCTATTTGAATGTGTTTCTAGTAATTTGAGACGACTCTTACTTTGGAAAATACTACAAATGGCGCACTAAACGCTATCTGTAGCAGGATGCTACATTTTAGCATTACGTATGCTCGACTTATTTTATTTGACTCTTACTTTATTGGAACGAAGTTCCTTATGGCACGTTCTACTTTAGACACTTAGCGAATGAAAAAATAGCGACACTTTTGCTATAGTATGTTACAGCCATACACATAGTGTAGTGCAACCAATTCTCATATAATATAATACAATGTCATATAATACTCATACCGTCTCTTTACTATTTTCAAACTGTAATTGTTTTATAATTATTGTTAATTTATTTCGTTGTGCCTGTTATTTAATACATACCATATACTTAGTAAAAGGAACTTTGTTCCAACCAGGTGTCCCACAACACCTATGTACTTTTTTATTTACATATCAGTTTCCTACTTTCTATGTTAGTTTACCATGTATGTTATATTTACGTACCTCTGTGTAATTCATAATGCAGTTTTCTTAATTTTACATGGTGAATACTGGACAAATGCTTTTTTCTAGCATCAATGTCGTCTATAAATGTTTTGTTACAATAATCACAATAATATCTTCGACCCATTTTAAATGTTAATTTGATAGTAATTATCTTCTCTTTGAATTTACATTGCACACTTTGGAAAATTCGTAATTTAAATTTAAGATATTATGTTAATGTTTGTTATTCCATGTTTACACAAATCAACATAAACATGCTCCTACTAGGTTATGTATCATATTATCCATAGATAATAGATACACAAAGGGTATGCCGTTTTTCTTATGCAACCCATTTTGCAAAATCTTTAAACGCTGCAAACACCGCCATCTGTCAGGTTTAGTCTGCATTAGTTATGATAGGAGAGTCGACACCCTACGAATAAATGTGGAAGATAAGGAACATCAATTTAATAGATGACTCACTCTATCATTGAAGTCAAAGATAATAGATATACAAACGGTAATAATGGTCAATTCGAAATGCGCTGATTTGCGCGCCCTCCAGCAGGTCTGGTCAATACTAAATAAAAAAAGGCGCGCACTTTAAATTAGTGACTAGTGGGAATGAAACACCCAAAAGTTTTTCTGCCCTTTTGTGCGTTTTTAAAATATCAGGAAAATAATCAAAATTTTTCAAGAATTTGGTAGGCTATTGTCACAAAATAAATGTCTGTGTGACAACGTGTAAAAAAAAAGTCAGATGCAATAATGTTAACGAGGTATATGCATGTACAGTTTTCGGAGGTTGATTTGCATTTGAATACGATATATTCATTTTTTATCGATTTTTTCCATGTATCAGAGGTAACAAGGTATTGTGCGTCAGTGAATCACTTAAATAAATGAATATATGTCTACATGACTATAAAATAATTAGCATTAAAATGAAATTTTATTCTAATAAGTGCTTCATAATCGATTCTGTATGTTACGTTTAACTGGTGAAATTGCTGATGCTAGAAATTATAGAGCAGATGAAATAGACATTAAAATAAAATTCCCCTACTTACTACATAACATTCCATAAATCTTTCAAAATTTTTACTTTATCCCCTCACCCGGTGGGTAGGTTAGAAATTTTGAAGATTTTGAGGAAGATTGTATGGTTAAATAAGTTGAAGTTAAACTTCATTTTATGAATAAGGTGTTTTGTTGCCGAATGTGTAAAATAAGAAACACGAACTAATCTTAACTTAGTATTATTTAAGTTTATATAACACTGCAAAAACATTGATCTAGTATTAAGTACAAAATAAATTTCCAATTCTTGGGTAATTAAACTTATTTAGCATTTTCAGTAAATGAAAAACAATAAAACTGAAGTAAATGAAAAAACGATTATATTATTAATAAAATACTGCTCACTTTAGTGTCGTCGATTTTAAAAATTCAGTCATAATGAAGAGTAACTTTTTCCTGAAATATAAAAAAATAATGAAATGTTAAATTATCATATAAAAAGTTGTATTTACAGGGTGTCCCAAGCAAGAGGGTTTCTTCAATAACTGCTTTAGAGTTGTAGATATCAAAAAAAAGTTTCTTGCAAAAGTGGTACTATATAAATATTGTCATATCTTAAAATTATTTTGGATTATACAGTGTCCCATTTTTCCTGGAGACAACCTAACTTCTTTTTTTGAAACGGAATGCACCATTTATTATTGCATTTTTTAATTTCTTGTTAAATATAATACCACTTTGTTGACCATATATTATGTCTAAAATGCACCAATTTCCATAAAATTAGCACTAAATCAATAAATAGGCTGTTGCAGTTCTCTGCGCCATTTTGAATATCTCCGAAATGAAAGCATGCAGAAATGTGCTATTTTCACACATAGCATGTGAAAGAAATCGCCTACTATCTCCATTTTTAGGATATGAAGATACCTATTTAGTACCACTTTTGTAAGAAACTTTTTTTGATATCTTCAACTGTAAAGCAGTTATTGTAAAACACCGCTTGCTTGGGCACCCTGTATATAGAGGCTTTATTATACTTCGTTTACTTTCTGTAGCGATGTGACCTTTAGTTTGACCGGCGCAAAGTAGAAGAAAACAGCACTAAGCCAGAAAAGGAAGGAGACAACTCTCGACCAAACTCTTAACCGGTGAGGAGCGTATAATCCGTACAGTACTGCACGGAGAAATTGACCATTTTATCCACTACAATTGCATTGCTCAAATGTGTTGTTATTGGTACCATTTACTACTAAAAATATCAACGAGATGTTTATTTATATTTGAAGACATATTAAAGGCTTTAACGCTTGTTTTCGACTCGCACTACTATTCATGATTGAACAAAACTTTTGGCAGGTACTGTATGAAAAAGTATGTTTAATGAACAAGAGTCGAGAGTATAATGAGCTTTTTTCTCCCTACCTACGATTTTGCCAGCGCGCATCCAAGACATTGGAAGGGGCACATTACTAGAGAAAGTAAATGAAGTATAACTTAAATTTCTTTTAATTGCAAGTAAGTTTTAAAATACTTAAAAGCAAATAAATATTTACGTAAATTATAATTTATATTTAAAGATGAAATATTAAGCACTTTTTTAAAGGATAGGAATACTATAAAAATAAATGTACAAGTATCAAATACTAATAAAATTACACATATAAATTGAATTAAAAACATTACCTTTTTTACAATTCAACTTCTTGGCAAAACGAACAAATGCTTCTGGTGCATCTTCATCGCCTTCAGGCATACATTTCATTATATGATCGAATCTAAAATAATATCAATATAACTATTCCAGCCATAACAGAGCGGTTGCGATTTTTTGAGAAAAATGGTATATAATCTAAATAATTATTTTATTATTAAAATTGGAAAAGATATTTTTGTCAATTAAAGTTTTTCAAATCAATAATATTGAACCTTTTCACAGTTGCGATTCAAATTTTAGGCGACTTAATGTGTAAGTACTTAATAAATTCATTTACTCACAATTCTTTATGTTGGTTAATTTTCAAGGCGGGTATAAACGAATTGAAGAAGTGCAAAAAATGTCGGTGTTCCAAAACGGAAGATGTATATGAGACAGCATGTTTGAGAACACCTAAAACCGAATCTTCAGCTGCTTTATTACTCTTCAAATACTGCAAGAAACGTTGTCCCAAAGCCTGTGGCAGTAGTAAATAGAATGTAATTGAGAAATAAACCACTTGTAGATAGGTACTTTTACATATTGCAATTTTAAGATTCTATAATGAATGTATAGTTTCCATCTGTCCATCAGTACATAATTATCATAAACGCGAAAGAACAATAAAAACACTTCAAAAAATGCGGGTTTAATTACTGGTAACTATAACCGTCCTCAGCAAATAGTTACGCCCTTTTTACTCTCACAATATTACTGTCATAATAGTTTTAGATGACTTTTGTATATTATTAACTAAGTATGTCCATAATATGTAATGTATATATTTATATATA